ACAACTTTAAAATATGACAGGATTAAATTAATGCTTAATTAAGCAGATGATAATATAACCTTAATAAGGTTTATATCTTAACTGCCAACCACAATAAAATAACCTTTTTATAAAATCACTAATAGCTTTTAATAACGTATGAATTTATGCATTCTTATATAAATTTATATATTATTAAAAATTATGGTAAAGTAAAGGTAATTTCTTCATAATTTTAAGAAATTGCCAATTTAGCTTAAATAATTGTTCATTAAATTATAATGATATTTCATAATCATATTAGATGGAAAACTTACATTATAAAAATAAAAATTTTATAAAAAATATCAACTTATAGTAAATTGACATCAATTTAAATACAATATAAGTATTATGTTTCTAAAAAACCCAATAAGTTAACATTTTTATAATTGAGGTCATTTGTGTTCATCTTTATACTCTGACAAAAACTGATGCAATCAATTTGAAAAATATAGAATAGTTTGCCAAAAGTTTTCCACGAGCCCAGCCCTTTAGGACTTTAATTAATAAAACTCTGGTATATTATAATATGATCGAACCAAAAATTTGATCTTTATATTATATAATAAATTTGTTAGTCTGTAGTTACAATTTACAAATATCATATTTAAAGTTAAAATAATTGTTTTTATAAATGATATTACAAATAACCTATGTATAAAATTCAACCTTGATATTGATATGATATATTTTGTTTCATTTATATTCTGGTAAAATATTATAAAACGTAATAAAATGGTATTAATTTTTTTTTAAATAATGGGCCCATTTTATTTATGAAATGCTAAAAATCAAACTTCTTTACCGTCCGTTCCGTCTCCTCTGAGTAGTGTTTATAAACGGCCTGATTAAGATTTTAACCAAAATAATATTATGTAAGCCTGTAAACTCGAATTTTAATTTATTTTTTTTAAAAAATTAAGTTAACTTAAATTTTTCATAAAATTCTTTATAAAGTACTTTGACAAATATAACGGTCTACATATTTATATACTTTAAATATCCATTAATTATTTTGAAACCTATCAAGTTTTTCTTTTATTTCTTTTTAAATTAAATATAATCTTCATTATAGTTTTTCTCTTCTTTAAATATATTAATTTCCACAATTTATATATTATCAAAAACATAACATTTACATTAATAATAAAAAATTTACTGTCAAAAAAAATAATTTTAAATAATGATATTTGTTATAAGATAAGTTAGATTCGGGAAAGTTATATTATATCATCATTTTTATAAAAAAGTGAAGAAAGCACAAAAAATGAGAATGAAAAAATAAGGTTAAATAAGGCTTTCAGGTATGAATTATGGAATAAAAAAACGCAGATTTTCATCTTTCCCTTTTATTAAACATTATTATAAATTTTTAAACAACAATTTATTATTCACTTATATTAATAATTAGATGTATTTTAAAAATTTATAAAATATGACAAAAATTTAGCGAATTAAATATTTTAAAAAAATATAATATTAATCAATTTTAAAAAAATATATATCTTTCCTTTTTTTTTAATTTAAAAGTTAAGTAGTCTTCGATTATTACATTATTTCTCTCTTTATATCTCTCAATTTTCACAATATACATAAAAACACGACATTATATAAAATAATGAAATTTTTAATGTATCAAAAAAATATCGTTTATTATATATTTCAAATAATAATATTATATTTAATAATAAAGTAGATCAGAAGTTATATTATATATGAGATTTTAAAAAAGCATCGAGATAACAAAAAAGAGAAAGAAGAAAAAAATTAAGGTTAAATAACGCTTTCAGGTATAAATAACGAAATTTAAGAAAATTATTAAATTTTTTTAAACAGATAATCATAATCATCATCACTTAATTAATAATTAGTTGGAAATATTTTAAAAATAATAACCTATCCCAATAAAATTTCGGCTGACTAAATTTTCGACAACACTTTCTCAGTGTTGCTAATTATTATAATAAACAAATTTCGGACTGTTTGGATGGTATAGTTTTGATTAACGAAAAAATACAAATAAGCTAAAATGGTCACCTAGTTCGAAATGATATATTTATAAAATTCGCCCTTATCCCGATGTATAATAAATTGTTCATAACCCTATAATACCAAATATCACTAAATTAGAATAACTTAGAGGTGCTCCAAAAATTTTTAAAAATATCTAATTTGTATAAAAAATCGAAATAGAAGTAGGCGTGGTCGAACTGAACAACTTTTGAAAATTATTACTTGGGCAGTTCTGTATCTCCCGAAAAATTTTGTAAAGCCTACAGATAGGTGCCATTTCCTTTTATAAAAAATTATGGTGTCTGGCAAGACAATTTGTATAAGATTATAGGGGCTTGGGCTGATGGGCAAAAAATTTACTCACTGCCGGTTCGGGCTGGAGTCGATCTCTAGGTAAGATGTGGTTTTGGAGTAGTGAAAGTCATAGTCCGGATCGAACCACAGACCTATAAAAAACCGGTTAGACCATGATTATAAATAAAAAATTCAATTCTTGTTTTATTTTTATTAAATACAAAAGTATCGTATGATAATAATATCAAATCAAATATGAATATAATAATTAATTCAAGTATTTAATTTAAAACTGTTTTTTTGACAAACTTTTCGTTTTCCAAATATTGATTATATAAAATTAAAATCAGTTGGAGGATGAGGTAGAGCCCTACATGCCAGGTATGACCCTATAATTTTTGAATTGGACCTGGCTACGCTTAAAATTACAAAAAAAATGAAATAGAAAAATTTTCTTTTCAATAATTTCTTTGGGATTTGGACAAATCAATAAGTGATTTTTAGTTTATCTAACTTTATAAAAAAGTTTTTAATTTATATTTTTTAATTAGAAATTTAAGCTATGCCTTGTTTGAGCTTTCAGATAAATATAAATTTTGGGCCTCATTCAGGCTTAATAAAATTTTGGATGTGCAACCATAGAATAAGATGGCTCCTAATTGCCACCTGTAATTATGGTCTTTGTTATAGATGTCTATAATAGAAGTGACACCTCGTTGTTTGAATTAAGGTGGATTTTTTTTTCAATGTGAAAAACACAAATTGTGTTTTTTAACGCAAAAAAAAAGTTTACCTATTTACATCTTGACATTTAAAATACTTTATTTAAAATAAAATAAAAAACGGAAACGATAAAATTTGTAAACTATAGGAACTTAATTTGATAATATTTTTATTTAAAAAAATTATTGTGATTTTCTTCGATTTAATAAATGATGTTTTATTTTATAATCAAATTGATGGATAACCTAAATATTTTGTTATAATTATTAGTGAAACTTTTTTTTAAAAATTTGGTTGCGTTGTTAAAAAGCCCAATTTGGGTCTATTTTTAAAAATGGCCAGATTATGATTTTATCCAAAATAATATTGTATAAAACTCAAGATTTGGCAAGTAAAAGCTCAAACCTTTCTGCAATCTATGAGCAAAATCTCCGAGCTTACACAATATTATTTTGTTTATAATCTTAATCAAGCCGTTTTTAGAAATCAACCAAAATCGGGACTTTTAACAACACTACTTGCCCATTTTAAAAAATGAGGGAAGTTATTTTTCATCAAATTTTACCACTTTTGATCTCTATATTTTAATGCTCAATCAAATTCTACAAACTTCTGAGGATATTAAGTTCCATATTGGCAAATAAGTGGCATTAATAAATTGCTCAATTTTGTAATTTCTTGAAATGATTTGATAAAAAATGGGCATATTAAAAAAAAATTCAATAACAGCCTAGGGATATTTTTTACTTTTTTAAAAAGCTTAATTTTTATATAATCAATATAGAATTGATAATTAATCTTTTGCTATCTATCATTTTAACCTCCAAATTTGTTTTAATTAGAAATTTTAGTGTAATATTAAACTTGGTAAAATGTAAGGATAAAATTATTTTAAAAGGAAATGCAGCAAGTGGAACTATATAGCATGAATTTAAGATAAAAGAACTGTAAATATACATTTTTCTTGTTGCTATAGGTTATTATACATTAAAAATAATAGCGTATTTTATAAATTGTTAGTTGGGGGAGGAGGTGATTTTTTCTAACAATAATTAGCAAAAAAGATCTGTAATTCTATCTAAAATGAGTATTAGAAAGGAAATAAGTATAAATATAAAATAGGGAGGCATGAGACCCTTTGTACCCCACTAACAAAATAATTATCATTTAACAAGATATATTATTGTAACAAATTTTATAAACAGATAAATCTATAAAAGTGAAGATAATATGGCATTATTATACAAAATCAAATTGCTTTAATATCTAATTTTGGATTTCAAAATCTTCTTTAAAAAATAATTGATAATCATTAAAAAAAAGAATTAACAAATATTAATAACTATGATTGTTTAGAAAGTTAAGCAAAATTTATAAATTTCACCTTTAGTTTATATTAAAAATCATGGAACAATTAGTAAAATGGGTGGGTTAAAATTTTAGGTACAAATGAATTAAATATTTTTGGGTGTAATGAATAAGGTGGGTATATATAATTAAAAATTAATTTATTATTTTAAGTACTAAAATAAAAATATAAAAGTATGCAAACCAACAAATCAAATAATTTTCAAAATATTCAACAAATAATCTAGGCAAAATTTATATTTTATATAAATAAGTATGACAGGAAAAAAAAATTTAAAACAATGGGCAGATATGTTAAAAAAAGTAACAAAATAAGTGGATTAGAAACTTGGTCATTACAGACAACTATATTATTCGAATTAGTATGAAGTTCTAAAAAAAGATTTATATAGCCTTAGTTAATGTCATTTTTCAATGTTAATGAGGACACCATGATGTCGAAAAAAGTTAGTTGTGTCTGAAAAGGGAACTATCTAACTAAAAAGCTATATTTAGTAATATTGAGTTAAAAATATTTGGGGCAAATAGTTCAATTCCTTGCGCAAAATTATGCATGGTATATGCATATATTTTTATATTACTAAGAACGGATAACCATCAATATTGCCATTGCAAAAAGTAAAATCTCCATCATTTGCAGACCCCGATATAATTTGATGGCAATTCATATTTGGAATTTAATTATTATAAAATATTTTTCCATTTAATATCAAGCGATAACTATGAATAATAAAATAAGAGTAGTCTTTAAACAATTATATGTTTAATATGTATTTCACTAAAAATAATTGTAATTGATAAAAAAAAATTAAAAAAACAATTTACCGCATTCTTAAAGGTGATAAAATTTTTCATATATTGAACTTTGAACATCTATAATTGGGTAATAGTCGATCTTTTTTAGATAAGGCTAGTCCCATAGGCATATCCAGGATTTTGCTAAAGGGGGAGAAGCACTATCAAGTGTATTTTTTTGCCCATAAAAAAATAATTTTGGGTTTTTACTTTTTTAAAAATTAAAATGCTCCTTTTCAAAAAAAATTTGAATTATAGTCCTTAAAAAAGTTATTATCTTATACTAAATTTTTTCAAATTCTTCTTTATAATGATATATTGTATAATTTTTGGAGGATGGGAGGGTGAGGAGTTTCCCCTCCCATTGGTTACTCGTCTCACTAAACCTAATTTTTGCGTATCCTGAGGCTCAGACAATTTATTTTGTCGGAGGCTAAGGCTGAGATGATTTATTTTGGCTAAGAAAGTTTTAAAATGGCCATAATAATTGCATTCTGGTTTAAATTATTATGAAATTTACAGTAATGGAACGTTAGGCAATAAAATCGGTTTAAACTTAACCATAGTTAATCAAAATTAGCTTAAGCTCAGCTCAATGCATAAGTGTAGCCAGGGGGGGGGAACAAGGGGTAATTTGCCCCCCCCCATTCAGAAATTCATAACTTTTTGTGAATATCATTTCAAGCTAATAAAAAATATCCCCCTTAGTCCTCCCCCCACTCCATGATCCCCAAAAATGTATACATATATCTTAAACAATAATTTGAAAGAAAGAATGTAAAAGTTGATATTTTTTTATAAAACAATTCATCATAATTTATACATTTTTGGAAAAAAGCTTTTATATAAAAAATAAGTGAACCAAAATGCTTTTTAAGAAATGGAATATAAGCCAAAATAAGTCTTAGGACAAAAGTGAAATGTATTATAATTATTAACCATAAAATTACTAAATAATATAATAAATCAAATATAATTTTTTATAAAGTGAGATTTTAATTTATTCATCTTAATAAAAGTAAAATATAATTATAAAACTATTGATAAAATTAAACCATAAATTAAATAAAAAATCAAAGCATAATACAAACAGTGGAATATTATATGTCGTAGATTTACAGTATATCTGTTTTATCATATGACAATCAAATAATTTTTACCAATATAGCGAATTATATATTTTACAAAAAACTATAAAATATTGATAAGGACATCAGAAAATATTTTTTAAAGAAATTGTGGGACTGGGATGAATAATATGAAGATTAATTATTAATATCTTTTTATAATAAATAGATGGCGTTAAATAATTGAATGCAATTTGTTGTTATAAGGAATATCAACTATATGTCTACTTTTTATAAATAAATTTCTTATACTTATTTGGAATAAATTATTACCATGCTTTTATATTAATGTATATACAAGTAATTTATTTTATTTTATATAAACTATATTTCATATTTGTTCCAGGCTTATTTTTTTATTAAAATTAACCTCCTATCTTGTAAAAGTATTTTATGACTATATATAGACATAGGTAACTCGGCCAAAGGCCCGCCCAAAATGGGGACTGAGGGCGAGGCCCCCACTAATTTTTTAATTCCCCTCCCCCTTAAGGAAAATTCTGTCTACGCCTATGGCTCAATGATGTATCATTGGCTCAGCCTTAGCAAAAATATAGGCACAGACTTAACTTAGCTATATCGACTAATGCTTAGTCTTAAAAAAATATAGACTTAGTCTTAGTCAGCCAAAAAGAATTAGATAAGACTTAGCCTTAGCCAAAAAAATGGCTAGGGCCAACGTTTACCTAAGGGGGGGGTTAGCATTTTTCAGGGGATAGGATAAATTTATTGGAGGTTATCTATAAAATTTTTAGATGAAATAGGACAAATTATATTGCGGTAAAAATTATAGAACTATTATAATACAATGATATTGCTTATCATCGACCATATATATATTGTAAATAATCATAGATATTATTTTCCAAATAAAACTTTCTTTTTAAATGTAAATTAAATAGGTTAGACATTCTCAACAAACTCATATTCATGCCAAACAATATACTATAATAAAGTATTCATTGTAATTGAAGAGGTTTTTAATTGAATTCATGATCTAAAAAATAACTCATTTATATTCACAATATTTTGATAGTTAGTAGTGGAGCTAAAATAATTTAAGTTAATCTTTTTAAAATTCATGAAAGGAGTACCAGTATAAGTAATAAGGTGTAATTATTACTAGGAAAATATCTTCGCCGAAGACGGTAAATTTTTTTTAGGGGGGTATACATGTACATAAGTTTTTAAGTGGGGTTTGCATCCAGTGAAAATCCTGTGATGTAGACGCTGAGCTAGGCTTTGACAATTACCTAACTATACTAATAACTATGATGACAGGTAATTGAATTCAAAAGAAATTTTTAAACTTATCTGAAAATTTATTATTTTTTGCAAAGTATGATTGACAATGAAAGTCTTATATGATAATAGATATAGAACTATCATCTAACCCTAACCTTAACATACTAACTGTTGATAATCAACTCAAAAATCAATTTAATTTATCATTATTATGGTTTTTTATAATATTTTATAGATATAGCATATATTTTTTTATATATACCTTTTTTAAATAAATTTTGATTGTCATTTGAAAATTTATAGTTATTAATAAAGAACTATTTTATAATTTACTTCCAATAAAATATATTACTTACCAAAACTGACAATTTATAAATTACAATGCTATTTGAAGCATCTTTAAATGGAAATCAACTGGTGTCGCGTTAATTTTATTTTAATAAAATTAGTTCTCCGTTTTCTATTAATTCAATTTTATAGAGTCCCATGACTTGTATAATAAATTTTAGTCATCTTTTTAATAATATTAATAGTTTTACTATATATAGATAGAATATTATGAAATAATTTTAACTAATTACTAGATTGGACATATATTTATCAAATTTGATAAATTTCTATATGTAATAATATAACAGAGGAAAGATTAAACCGATAAACACTACTGACAAACTGGTTGCAGAGGCGTACAATGAATGTCATCATCGGCATAGCTCATCTATAAATAACAGTATTGTTAAAGATACTAGTTTTTACCACTCTGAATCCTAGTTAGGATCGTAGAGCATAACTTTATATTGAACGGCTTATTGAGCAGCATGAGTTTGCTTGATGAGTAAGCTTCAAAGTTGGTTCGATAAGTCGTATTGAGAGTAGGCTTAAATTTATTTTCAATCAATCGGCTATTATCATTACTCCATGGAGAAAATACTGAAAAAATATAGAGACGACCCTGAAGCCGACTCATATAGTTCATTGAGCAACTCAATTTGAAGTGAATTTTGAGATTAAAACCTTAATAGAATTTAGAAAGTCGACTCAGCTTAACCGATTAACAACATTATATCAGGGCGAATGAAACATCAAGAGATAATTGATCTTTTAATATAATAATACCAAGTCAAAGCAAACCAGATGAAAATAGCTCAGAATAACGCAATGATATATTAAATAAAAAATTGTGAGAATTTAAAAAAAAGGTGTGAGTGCTGTAGAAGAGGATGCTAATTAAAATTCTAATGTGTTATAAGTATACGAGAACATCTATCAAATATTTTTATTGCATCTACATGAGAGAAAAACACTGGAGGAAAATCCCTACAAGGTTTATTATTAGGAACAGCAGTTTATTTTAATGATATAATAGTAAGTGGATTATCATAAAAGGAGCATGAAAACAATTTGCAATAACAATATTAAAAGACAACAGAATTATATTAAAGTTTGTCAAATGTAATTTTTTGAGGAATAGATAGTAGGGCATAAAATTAATAAAGAGGGTATATCGTCCTCGACAAAACAACTAGACACAATAACGAGAATGCAGATCAGGAGAGATTCATTAAATATTTAATAAAGACGAAGATAAAGCGCGAAATATGATAAGAATTCAGTTGGTAACTTGTAGAATAAATGTAGTCTCCGGAAATATTAGCATATTTAACAAATTTATCAGTTCATCAGCTGAAAAATGATTTATTTTACCAAAGAAGGGATCTGCGCTAAGTTTCATGTAAGAAACCGACTTTCTTTATTTGTAATTTTGTTAATCACCTCCGAACGGAAATTATCTCATAATCATAACTGGGCAATTGACTTCTAAATGGCAATTTGTTTAATTGAGTAATATTTGGCAGGTCAATACGGTTAAATTCTATAATATTTTTTGAGAATCTATGTCATTTACTTTGAATAAAAATGGATCAATATCCCTCTCAAGTTAAAGAAAACTCTAACTTTTTGTGAACATGAAGGCGAAGTAAAACTTGTCTATCCCCTATTCAGACATCACTCGATATATTCTTCTATTCTTCCTCTTTACTCTCTAACTCGTATTTTTAAACCCAAACATATTTTAGGCAGGTCTCATCTACTTCTATTTCAACTCTTTTTTTGGGCCGAATTTCCACTTTATAAAGTAACTTAAGTGCTTTCTTAATTTATATTATCTTTTAAGAATATTTTACACTTATCTCCCTCTAGATCCAATAGCCTCCAACATCCTATTATGTTCTTAGTTTTACAATCCCTTAACGTTAATCTGATAGAATTTCCCTTATTCTTCACTATTTCTCTATCATTTTTATTCCAGATTTATTAATGTGCTGTGCATGTTATCATGGGATGATCCTTCTAGGTAATGCCTCCTTAGCTTTTTTTAAGCTCATCTATTAAATTATGGCCTCCACATCCAATATTATGTTTATTTTCTTTTTATCAAAATAAATTGTTACAAACCCGCACCCTTCCCATTTGATAAATATCTATGACCAAGCTTTCTCTTTTGCATGTAGTCTATATCTATCCCTCTCACATTCCCGGACATTATGTCCTTCTACCCTCACATAACATCTCCCTCTCTCCATAAACCTGACATAATAACTGCTTTTCTTATTTCCTTGTTAGCTACAACCTTCT